CCCAGGGGGGGATGGTCACGCCGCAATCCCTTCTCCTCCATTCTCCTCTCGGGATCTTGGGCACGCACGCACACGCGCCCGGCCTGAGTCTTAAGCCACCGGGGTCCGGGACGCGAACCGCAGCGACATAGCCATTACGCTAACTGCTGGTCCCTTCAAAACTCATCTTTTTGAGGTGTGATTTTAAGCGAACAGTCTTCGTTGATCTGATACATTTTTCTAAAGTAATTAGTTTCAGTATGTGCTAGGTACCTGACTGTTACCCCATTCAGTCCTTAGAACCACTCTTTTGCAGATGAAGAAATTGCTGTCCAGAAAGATTAAGTTGCCAAAGGCGACATGACAGTAAATCGTAAAGTCAGAATTGGAACTCAGGTATCCCGAGCCCAGAGCGCATGTTGTAAACCACACTGTGTACTGTTCCCCCACCCCAAACATCACCCCTTTCTTCACACTTCCCCTTGCCCCAATCACTCTCCCCTACCAACTTCACCCACACTCCATGATGCTAACCCAAACCAGCCCCTCTCCACTCTTCCTCTGCCATCACACTGCGACTACCCAGCTTATTTACTCGGATAATTTTTCAGATACTCTTCTGCCAGGTAGGCTGCTCTTGGCTATAGGAATCTAAACTCCCAACTCTGACTTAACTCATAAAAATGTTTATTTTTACATAACAGGAATTGTTAAGAGTGATTCAGAATCCAGGGCTGTATAACTGACCAGCTCCACACTGCCATCAAGAATTAGAGGATCAAGGTCTTTTTTTTTTAAGTTTTGCATAGTTTTTGCTATAGGGTACATGTCTCTCACTGAGAGACAGAGTCAGAGAGAGAGAGAGAGACAAAGAGGGAAAGTGAAAAATCACCTCCCCCCCCAATAGGGGATGGCCACACTGCAATCCCTTCTCCTCTATTTTATTCTCAAGATTTTGGGCATGCATGCATGCACACACACTTGGCATAATTTTCAAGACACTGGGTCCAGGACTCTAACTGCAGAGTTGCCTATGTGAGATCCAGCTACTTTAATCTCCATACCACACACTGGCCCAATCAAGATCCTTATCTCTCTACTGCATAGACATTAAGGCTAGTTGCCCTCAAATGTTTAGGGCAGCCACCAGGAGCAGTGGCACCATGCTTCTTTGCTGGAATCCCAGTGTTTGTGTATTGTGGTGCTGTCATAGGAGAATTGGAATCTTTCCTACAATCATGTCTGATTGGACCTAATTTATCTAAATTGATCATATACCTAACCCTACCACTCCAAGGGAATGCACATAGTGATTGGTTTAAACCCAAATTCCTGAGCAAATTATTTGACAGCCTCTAGCTGTTAGCTCCTTTGGAGTCTGTTTCAGCTTTCAAGGGAACTTCATGCTCTCTTGGGTAACCCCAAGCCAATGTCTAAGCAAGATGTTGGTTCAAGGGTCTAGCTATTCCCATCCAATGTAGGACTCTTCCAATAGGTATTTGTTGTCCTGGAGTTCCTGATGGGAAGGGCACAGAGTCTGTCAGATCTGCATCCTTGTGTGTGGGCTTCCTCTGCCCAGTTCTACCTCCTCTCCCTTTCCTTCCACTGCTGCTCCTCCTCAGTAAGCCTTTTGCTCTCCTAACTCAATCCCAGCATCTGCTCCCCAGAGAATCCAACTTGCAGCAGTGCCCTACAAGCCGGCTTTGATTCTGCCTTCACTCTGTCTCTCCTCCACACACATCTCTTGTACTCACACAAATGTGTCCTTCACCATCTGAACTCTACCCCTCTTGCCTATATGTCATCTGCCTTATGACCTCAAGCCCTTTAGCATATCCCTTCTTCGTCCATTAGCCACCCTCTACTTTCCATTGTGTCCTGCCTTAACCTGGACCACATCCTAACCATGACTTTGCTGTCACCTGATCTCTCTCCACCCTTAGATCAATCTCCAGCCCTGGGAAAACTACAGTAAAATGTACTTTCTTCCCTCTTGCTATGGGTCTACTGAAAACTGGGTTTAATGGCTTAATGACAAATCCATGTGCTCTAACTTTAACTGGACCCTAAGGGCTGCTCAGTGATTATTTTACTAATCTCTGTAGACTCCCCACGCATTGATGCCAAATGTGTTTCTCCTTTTACTTCCTCGTGTCCCTTCCTCCAAATTTCTTCTCACCCTGTAAGAATGAATTTTTAACCGCCTCCTTTTTTCTGTTGATCAAGTATGTAGTCCTTGAACGTTCCCCTTAGAGCAGGTGGGCTGCTATTGCTTTTACCTACCCAGACCCAAACCCATTATACCTCAGATGTCCTTGGAAGAACAGCTCCTTTCTCATCTCATCTCCAGTCCATGCAGCCTCAATCTCTCCACTGCTGGATTTGTGATTCAGGCCTGGCTTTCTGAAAAATGAGAAATGGGCATGTGGACCAAGCCAGGTCAATAAAACCCATGTCAGAACTATTGGGGGAAGACACCTTCTTTTGCTTTGGAGATTGTTAATCATTAAAGAAATAAGCCTGACACTGTAAACCCTCATCAGGACTCAGGAGAAAAGAGACTGCCTAAGAAAACTCCACAGGAAAACAGGTTGGGTACAGATGGTATCCTAGTGCCCTGTCCACCTATATTAAAACCATCATACTAGAGAACTTTTCGATTATATGGTCCAATGAATTCTTTTTAACTTAGTGTAGTTTGAACTGTATTTCTATATTTGCAGCCAAAGGTCTGGATCTAGAAATTCCTCTTGACCTCCAAAACTGTCTCATTTTTACCTATTCTGACTTGTTCTCACTGTCTCTGACAGGAGTACTGTTCTTGTTAGAATCATTTTCTGCTACGCTTTATTTTCTTTGGGATCTTGTTTTATTACCTTTTTCCATTGACTTCTTTCCCATTGTCCATATTCATAGCTTCTACTGACTGGATAAATGTTATCAAACTATTTCAAAACTGTGGTCTTAGATGAGAGAAGGAATGTGTTTCTGAAGGTTTAATACCTTGGCTCTTTGAGAGTAACCTTGTTCTGCAGGTGAGCTAGGGAGAGTTGTTCCAGAGAGTGGAGAGAGAAATTAGTTTGACACAATCTCTCTTTCCACATCCTCTTCTACATATTGCTCAAAAAGATGCTAACATTTCACTTCCACACACTCTCCCCTGCTCAATTTGGCAGGCAGTACATCCCACTCTTCCTGAAAACTTGTTTTGTGGGGAACCAGCAGTTAGCGTAATGGCTATGTCGCCGGACTCCCACGTAGTCGACTGCGGTTCACATCCCGGACCCGGTGGCTTAAAACTCACGCCGGGCGCGTGTGCGTGCGTGCCCAAGATCCCGAGAGGAGAATGGAGGAGAAGGGATTGCGGCGTGACCATCCCCTCTGGGGGGTGATTTCTCGCTTTCTGTCTCTATGTCTCTCTCTGTCTGTCTGGCGAGCGCACGCGCCCTACAGTAAAAATCTCTCCAAAAAAAAAAAAAAAAAAACTTGTTTTGTGACATGAAAGGTGAACAAAATATGAATTGTATGTGTAACAGACTTTGTAGGGTTTAGAGGATTTAAGAGAAAGGAGCAGACCAGCGTATAAGCCTCAACTGTGCTCAGAAACTGTTCAGTATTCAGCTGTTGGAGTTTCATTCCTTGTTTCTATTTTCTTTTTTATTTAATTTGATCTTAAATTTACATGATTAAATATATTTACATAATTAAATATGTTCACATGTTCAAACATATTTACATAATTAAAATATTTACATGATTAAAATATTTACATGATTAAAATTTAAAATATTTACAGGATTAAAAATTCAAAACTACAGGAGGCAGCACAGGGGGCACGGTGGTTAAGGCACTTGACCATGGTTTTAGTCTTGGACCCAATGGCTTGAAACTCACGCCAGGCACGTATGTGTGCATGTCCCTGAAAGAATGGAGAAGGGATTCTGACATGACCATAATCACTCTTCTGGGAAGTGATTTTTCACCTTCTTGCTCTCTGTCACTCTGTGTGTCTTAAGCAAGCAAACATGGCCTATAGCAAAAAATCTTTCTCTAAAAAAAAAAAAAATTAAAAACTAAATAGTTGATGTTAAATAAATAAAAAAAAATTAAAATAAAAAAAATGTTAACTACATGAAAAGATATACAAAGAGAAGTTGTATTCCCCCTCCCCCTTTCCCATCAAGTTTTCTGAAGTTTTTGGTTTATGGTACTGTATTCGTATCTATCACTGTAAACAAATTACTGCAGCCCTAGTGGCTTAAAACAAAGCATATGCATTGACTCATAGTTTCTGTGGGTTGGAAGTCTGAGCAGCCTTTTACAAGATTTCCTACTGAAGACTTCACAAAATTGAAATCTAGGTGCTATATAGGAATTCAGTGTTTCTAGAGCTCAGGGTCCTCTTCCCAGCCCACTCAGCCTTACAGTTGTAAGACTAAGGTTATTCTTTTCTGGCTGGCTGTTGGCCAGTTGTTCTCAGCTCCTAATAGCAAACTTCAGATTCTAGCTATGGGCTTGGATGAGAGCAGAAGATGTGGCCTTAGACGAGAGAAGCAATGCACTTCTGAAGGGATAAAAATGGCTCTTTGAGAATGACCTTGTCCATAGGTGGGCAAGGGAACATCATTCCAGAGAATGAGAGAGAAGCCTAACACAAGTTCTCTCTTTTCGGTCCATTGCTGTTCAGGTATGACTGTTCTCTAGCTTCCTGGCCAGGGAGCATCCTATAGACTAATCCCGCCCACACTCAAAGGGAAGAGATGGTCCAAGGCACGTCTCCTAGGAAGACCGCCTACCGGGAGCCAGCCTGCAGTTATGCCACTATGACTTCCGATGTTGTTGACAATGTTTTAAATATAAGTAAAGCAAGTGCACACACACACGCACACACAAACACACACATACACATACACACACGTATAATATACACGCCTCCCCCTTAAACCATAGTGGTGTACATAATATACTTTTTTCCATCTTGTTTTTTGCACTTAATAGTATATCTGCAGCTCATCTGATGGCAGTAGACAGAAATATTCTTTATTTCTTTTAAAGCAGCTTAGTATTTTATTATATGACTATACCATATTTTATACAAATATTCTCTAACTGATGGCCATTTGGATTGTTTCCAGTATCCCTTACTATTATGAATAGTTCTGCAATGAATAGCTTTGCATCGAGTTTTTTTGTTCTTGTTTTTCTGGGTCAAATAAATTTGCTATATATTCATAAATTATCCTTTATAGAAATGAAGCCATTTTACTCTTTCCTTTAAGATGTCCCAGTACAGTTGGATTTTTTTTTAAGACACCAATGTGGGGACCAGCAGGTGGCGTGGTGGTGAATGCACTGGACATTCCCACATGGCCTACCATGGTTGGGGTCCTGGACCTGGTGGCTTGCTTTCTCACATTCCTCCCTCTCTCTCTCTCTCTCTCTCTCTCTCTCTTTCTGGTCAAATTAAAATAAATGAATGAATGAATAAAATAATTCTTTAAAAATAAAAAAAAATTATTTCTTTTACTTTATTTATTGTTATTCCATTTGACTAGAGACAGAGAGAAAGGAGAATAACAAAGCAAACTACAAGGTTCAGAACTCAAACCATGGTAGACCATGCGGGAGTCCATGCCTTAACCACCACTCCATCTGCCTCCACCCCCCAGACTCCCACAGGGTGGAGAGCGGACCACGATGGCAGTAGCCAGTACCAGCATTTTGGCAGCAGTTCCTCAGGTCTTCTCAAATTCCCACAGGGCAATAGAAAGAGGGCCAGATATGGTATCTGAAATTGTAATGGGTTCCACTACAAGGAAGAAATACTAAACTTAGGGCACCAAAACCTTTAAATGGAGCAGCAAGTATGCTTTCCCTTTGCTCCAAAGCAAAATATCACCCTTACTCGATAAAAGCATGCATGTTCTTTGCTCTGGAAGATGCTATCCCTATCTTCCAAGGCTATTTACAGGTACAATGGTGGGGAGAGGGGTCAAAACAAAGGGTAGCCAGTGTCTCGCTCAAAAAAACATGTAGAAAAGAGACAGATCCAAAGAGAATTATTTACCAATGCTCTGGCTAGAAATTTATCACTTTTATTAATCATTTCAAAGAACCAATTTTTATTTGATTGATCAATACTCGTTGATTCCTCTGTTGCATTTCTGTTTACAATTTCATTGATTTTTCTCTTTTAGTTTTATTATTTTCTTCCTTCAGTTTCATGTGGGCTTAGTTTACTGGTTTTCTAATTTACAAAGGTGGAAGCATAGTTACTGATTTGACACCGTTCTTTTCTATAATATCAAAAGCATTTCATGCTATACATTTTGCCCTTAGCACTGTTTCATCTGCATTTATTTATATGTTTATTTTATATTTTCATTTTTACTCAGTTCAAAATATTATCTAATTTCCCTTGAGACTTTCTCTGTAACCAATGGGTTCTGTAAAAAGCATGTTGATTAATTTTCAAATATTCATGGATTTTCCAAAACCATTTTATTACTGATTCCAAATTTAATTTTGTTGTGGTCAGAAAAATACTTGCTATGATTTCAACTCTTTTAAATACTACTGTTTATCTGCTATAATATAGCCTATCATGGCGCATGTTCCGTGGACACTTGGAAATGATGTGTATTCTATCACTAAATAGAGATTTTGTAGTTCAGTCATATCAGGTTGGTTGAAGTAGACCATCTATATTCTTGTTTTCCTTCTACTAGTTCTCTCAGTTCTAAGAGAAGAATATGGAAGTCTCCCAGTACTACTGTGGCTTTGTTTCTGTTTTATCCGTTTCTGACTCATAGCTTTTAAAGCTCCTTGGTTAAACATTTGGTATTGTTAGGACTTCATAGTAAAACAATCCTTTATTGTAATGTAAATATCTCCTTTCTTTATCCTTGGTATTTTCCTCATTCTGAATTCTACTTTCATATGGCACCTGCCACTTACTCTGAATAATCTTTGCATGGTATGTATTTTCTACCCTTCTGCTCTTAACCTATTCATGTTACTGTATTTAAAGTGGATTTTTCCATAGGCAGTATGTAGTTGGGCTTAGATTGTTTTTGTTTTTTAAGAGATTTTTGCCTTAGGGCATGTGCACTTGCTACAGAGAAAGAGAGACAGAGACAATGAGAGGGAAAGTGAGAAATCACGCCCCAAGGGGATGGCCACATCACAATCCCTTCTCCTCCATTATCCGCCTGGGATCTTGCACATGCACACATGCCCAGCATGATTTTAAAGGCACTGGGCTTGGGACTCAAACTGCTATTGGTTGGCCCTGTGGGAGTCCAGCGACGTAACTGCTACACCATCTCCTGGCCTCTGATTTTTTTAATCCAATCTGAAATTTTTTTCTTTTAATTGGTATGTTTTTCATTTACCTTTAAGGA